GAGGTGATGAAAAGAAAGTATATTCTTTTGTGTTGAGTGGAAAATTCTATAGATATCTGTTAAGTCCATTGAGACATAACCTCTGTTAAGCTTCTGTCTGGCAGACTATCCACTGGTGAGAGTGGGGTGTTTAGTCTGCCACTATTAGTGTGTGGGGCTTGATTTGTGATTTAAGCTTTAGTGATGTTTGTTTTACAAATGCAGGAACCCTTGTGTTTGGGGCATAGATGTTCAGAATTAAGATTTCCTCTTGATGGATTTTTCCTGTGATGAATATAAAATGCCCTTCTTTATTTATTTTAATCTATGTTGTTAGTTATTAGGATAGCTACACCAGCTTGTTTCTTAGGTCTATTTGATTGGAAAATTTTTCCCAACCATTACTCTGAGGTAATGTCTGTCTGTGAGTTTGAGGTGTGTTTCTTGTATGCAGCAGAAGGGTGGATTCTGTCTGTGAATCCAATCTGTTAGCCTGTGTCTTTTCATAGGTGAATTGAGACCATTTATATTAATGGATATTAATGACTAGTGATTGCTAGTTCCTGTTGTTTTTGTTGCTGGAGATGGCATTGTGTGTTCGATTCCCTTCTTTGGGGTTTGCTTCTGTAAGCTTCATCTATTTCAGGTGTTCTTGTGGACATTGGTGATTTCCTTGGGTTGGTACTTTCCTTCTAGTAATTTCTGTAGGGCTGGATTTGTGGCTAGGTATTATTTAAATTTGGTTTTATCATGGAATATCTTGTTTTCTCCATCTATGGTTATTGAAAGCTTTGCTGGGTAAAGTAGTCTGAGCTGGCATCTGTGTTCCTTTAAGTGTCTGCGTAATCTCTGGCCAGGACCTTCTGGCTTTCATTGTTTCCATTGAGAAGTCAGGTGTAATTCTGATAGGTCTGCCTTTATATGTTACCTGGCCTTTCTCCTTTGCAGCTCTTAATATTCTTTATTATTTTGATTATTATGTGACAAGAGGAAAATTTTTTTGGTCCAGTCTATTTGGTGTTCTGTAAGCCTCTTGTATTTTCATAGGCATGTCTTTCTTTAGGTTGGGGAAATTTTCCTCTATGATTTTGTTGAATATATTTTCTGTGGCTTTGAGTTGAACTTCTTCTATCCCTATTATTCTTAGGTAGGTCTTTTCATGGTGCCCCAGATTTACTGCATGTTTTGTGTTAAGGATTTGTTGGATTTAAAATTTTCTTTGATCAATCTATTTCCTCCAAGTTATCTTCAATGCCTGAAATTCTGTCTTTCATCTCTTGTATTCTGTTGCTTATGCTTGCATTTGTGGTTCCTAGATTTTCTATTTCCAGAATTCCCTCTGTTTGTGTTTTCCTTATTGCCTCTATTTCAGATTTCCTCTTTAAGGGCCTCAATCATCCTCATAAAATTATTTTTAGGTCATTTTCTTCTACTTCATCTGTGTTGGGATGTCCAGACCTTGCTGTTGTAGCACCACTAGTTTCTAGTGGTGCCTTATTGCTCTTTATATTGTTGTGTTCTTACCTTGTCTACGAATCTCTTCCTCTAATTGGTACAGGTGGAGCTTGTGCTTCATGGGTTCTCTCTTTCTCCAGTTGGTAAATAGTTGGGGGTTCTGGTTCCCTTGACCACTCCTTCAGGCACAAGTAGAGAAGAACTTATGGTGAATGCTCCTCTTGTGATGCTGCTCCCGAGTCTGAGGCTTGTGACTCCCTTGATGCTGCTCTGGGCTTGAAGCTTAGGTCTTCCTCTGATGCTACTTCTGGCCTTGGATTTGGGCCTCTCACTGAGGCTGCTTCCAGGCTCGGATGCTGTTTCTGGGTCTGAGGATTGTGGCTCCCTTGACACTTCTCTGGGTTAGGGTCTTTCTCTGACACTGCTTCCAGGCTGGGATTTGGGCCTCTAACTGAAGCTGTTCATGGCCTGCAGCTCAAACCTACCTCTGATGCTGCCCCTGGGTCTGAGGCTCATGGCTCCATTGATGCTTCTCTGGGCCTTCACGGCAACTCTTATAAAGGAGAAACATTCAATTGGGGTGGCTTACATTTTCAGAGCTTTAGTCCATTATCATTATGACGTAACATGGTGGCATGCAGGCAGACATGGTGCTAGAGAAGGAGCTGAGAGTCCTGTATCTTGACCCACAATCTATAGGAAGTGGTCTGAATGTCACACTGAGCAAAGGAGACCTCAAAGCCCACACCCTCAGTGGAACACTTCCTCCAACAAGACCACACCTACTCCAACAAAGCCATAACCTTTTAATAATGCCACTCCCTATGAGCTTACTGGGGCCAACTACATTCAAACCACCACAGGTTAGAAAGTCCAGGGCTCAAACCCACCCACTTCACCTGCAGCATGAAGATGCAATCCACAGTCAGTAGATAATAGTGTGCATTTTTGTCTAGACAGTTGTTAACCTGGTGCCTCTTTTTGCCGAGCACCAGAGCTTTGTTGTGGAGAGGTTGGGAGAGAATGTCATCCCATTAAACCATGGTCAGCCCCCATTAAGCCAGGTCATCTGGTGTCCACCCAAAGGTCCTGACTTGATCTCAGGGTTACTCACTGTAGACGGGAATCAAAGCAGGGCTTGAGTTTCCATAACAAGGCTCTGTTTTCTTAAGGGGCCAGATCAGCTTCAGGCTCCTTCTTCCTTCTCTTTGTGCTGTGTTTTGATTCAATAATGTCTTACTCTTACAGCTGTCTGATCCTTTTAGGGAAAATGGGAAGCATTCATTTTATCTAATCATTAAAGAAAGGGAGGTCACAGTGGCCCTGCTAGTCATGTTTCTGGCTATGGATGACCCACTGGTATGTCAGCTTTGGTTAGTTCCATGATGTCTACATCACTGTGGTGGTAACAGTTACAACCTTATCTATGGTCATAATTTCTACAATATTTTTAAACCAGAAACAAAATCACTCATTACAGTGATATGTGTTAGTGTCACACTAGGAACCTCAGTGACAGCTCTGGCTTTCTGTAGTGATGGGCTCCAGTCTTCCTGTACAGAACCCTCAGATAACAGAACATAGTTAATACTGTAGACTGACTATGTGCAATCTGGTGACAGGGTGATGGTCAAGGCAAAAGGGTTACATTTTGATTTTGGCATGTTTGCTTTCAAAGCTGGGAGGGAGGGAAAGAGCGTGCAGTTCTGCAACGCATTGCTATTGCTGGAACACAGGTGGGAAGCAGAGGTCCAGGACCCCATGTGATAGGCAGAATGGGACTTTTCACCAGGACCTGGGGAAAAAGAAATGATGTTTGAATTTTGTTGAAAATACAAACTAAAGAAAAAATGTACTCCCTGGAGTTCTTTCTTAGCTCCTACAGGGGAGGCTACATTTTACATAAGGCCACACCTCATATGCAACCATCTAGACTAGACCATGTCCTGGCCATGGCAAAGGGTCACCATCTTAGCTGTTTGGCGTTTTATCACAGGAATGAACATATCATTTGTCCTCAAAACTGAGAGTCATCTGAAAACATGATGAATAACAAGACTATGAGCATAAATTGAGAATATCTTAGGCAATCCGTAATTACCTTCTAAGTTTCCATGATAAATCCAAATGCATTAAGACAGACTGTAACATACACCTTGCCTTCTCTTTCATAAAACCCTGGTGTTATCTTTATTGCAGAGACTAGATACTTAGTCATATTTAGCAGCAAAATTAGTATTGCTTTGTAAGGAATGATTTCATGACCTGAGTCTCTTCAGGTTGAGTGTATGCTTTTGTTTTTTTCATTACACTTGGACATTGTGCTCATGGTTTTCTGTTCTGTGATGAGAAATGGAGCTTGATATGTGTATGGCCTTCATTACCCAGGGCTTGTTGCTAGGGTGAAATCACTGTCAATCACAGTTGTCAAAAGGCAACAGCTCTTATTCATGGGTGAATGCATGCCAGGTCCTGGGCTAAGAGCTTTACTGTGTCAGTCTTTGTACCAACCCTGAGGGAGGGCTGTTATCTCCACACATGCCCAAAAGCTCAATGCCTGAGTGTGCACAGCCAGTGTAATGAACATGCATCAGCTCATTTAATTACCAGGACATTCTATCCTGTGGGGGATGACTCTATTCCACTCCTCAGAGTCCTTTCCCTGCAATGATGAGGTCAAGAGTAGAAAGTATCATACTGACCAGACCTATCCTGGGCCTCAGGAGAGTGTAGACAGTGTTGACTGGCCCTCAGGAGGTGATTCAAGGGGTCTTATATTTCCATGAAGCATTTAAAGCTGCCACATGAATAACTGCTGGTATAATAATTATGTATTTCTGGGAACATCATCTTACATGTTCTTTTATTTATGCCTCATAATAGGGATATGAAATAGGTCTCTCCATTTTCCAGAGAGGTAGACTTGTGTGAGTTCCAGATCAATGGCCTTGGGATGTAACTCAATATAGAATAACCCCTAAGGGCTTGCTCTGACCCCTTGGCCAGCAGCACATAACCCTGTAGTGTCCTCACAGATCTGTATCTGCCTCAAAAGTCACTGTATGGCTCCTTTCCACAAATAGTGCAACATATTGTAGGGGAAGCTGTAGCCAGCCCCTAAGAAGGCGTGGCTACAGCTTCCCCTACAACATGTTGTACAGATTACAAAGCAGCCTGACTATCTTTTTTGGATCCAGATCCCAGGAGAAGGACAGCTGTCTTCTGAATCCTATGCATCCCCGGTTTAGCCAGTTCTTTATAAACTAGAAATTGTCTGAAGGCATGTGTATATTTATATCTATCCCTTAGGGGCACTGGTAGCAAACCCTACCATCCACTGTGAGGTCAGATGACTCACATATAAGTATACCTACATGATTCTTTTAAGAGTAACAGAAAATTCCACATAAAAGCTAAAGGCGGCCTCTACTTTGTACCGTAGAAGGGTTATGCATCAGAGATGAAGTCAGGGTTGTGTAGCAATGTGCATTGCCTTCCTGAAGATTGCTGGGTCCCAGGCTTCAGTTCTGTCCACAGAGTCACGTGTGATCTGTTGTCTGTTGCAGGGTACCCACAAGCCCAGCCCTCCTCAGAAGCCTCTGCCTGCTGATCCACTGAGCAGGACATCTCGGCTCACTAGTGCCTTGGTGAGAACCCCAGGGCAGCAGGAGCCTGGCCTCCGCCCAGTCCCAAACAGGTGAGTGTCCTCTAATGGTGTGAGGTAGCTGAAATAACCACACTGGAAAGCAGGTACCAGGTGTTAAGCCATGTTTCCTACTTTCCCCAAGCATAGGAAAGATAGAAGATACATATTAAAGTGACCAGGAAGCAGTCAATACAAACTATACCTATGCATGCCTAAACATCACCCCAAGGCTCTCGGCAATGGCTCACTTACTTGAGAGATCATAGCAGAATGAAGATGACCTAGGAAAGATGAGCTGCTGACAAGGGCCCAGCCTGGTCTCTTACAGGCACTAAGGAAAATGGTGTATTTGTATAAAGGCAAGACCTCCACAACCCTCACCAAGACCTGCTCTGCCTACTCCAGGGGCTGAGATCCTAGTTCAGGTTGGGAGATTACAGAGAAATTAGGCCTAAGCAGTTGATCAGTAGAGTCGCCCTGGGGACTTTCTCTACAGCTGAGTGGTCTAGACAGGCTATCTCCGGCTGTGGTCATCCCCATCCACTCCCCCAACTCTACTTAGATGGGCAGAGGTAACCCACAGCTCATGCCTTTGTAACCTGGCCAATATTAAATATTAAAGTATCTCAATTTGTGTTTAAAACAAGGGTAATAAATACTCAACACATTGCTCCCAGATACTTGCTGCAGGGGCCGCTCACACCAGGCATCTCTAGGGTGGAATCCATGGCAAGCTGGGTGCTCTCCCATCTTCCATGTTTGCTGATGCCAGGGTGTCACTGGGAGCAGTGACAACATGGAAATCGGCAAATGCTGTAGCTCAAACTCTTCCTCGGGGAAATTATTCCCTTGTGGGTCTTTCACAGTTTTCTTGTTCCTCAGTTCTTGGGCTAGAACATGCTAGGCAAGTGCTGCATACCCCCAGCTATGGTCTCCCTAGTAGCCCAGGCTGACCTGAGCCTCCTGATTCTTCATCCTCCTTTGTGATGGGATTATAAGAAGGAGCCATCATGCCTGGCCAGCAGATTGTTAAACTCACAGCCCACTCTTCTGACTCACATGCCCTCTAGCAGGCCCTGAGTGCTGCGAGCACCAGAGAACCAAAGGTACTGACTGTTGACCAGACAGCATGCTTAGTAACTCCCATCTCTGCAGGAGAAGATGCACGTCAGTGAAACATTATAGCTCTTGGGAAGAATGTTGGCCTAGGAAAGAAATGGCTGCCTCATGAATGTCAGAGATAATGCTGGTCAAAGGGTCAAGATGACAGTCTAGTTCACCACTGTGGAAATGCAGAAAAAGTCGCATAGCACTTGGGTTACTTTTTATATTCTACTAGATAAAACTACTAACAGGGACATGACAGGGGAGCACTCCATTTCAGAATGCCCATGCAGGGGCCCTGTCTAACCTCTACTGACGGCAGCATGGCTCCCCATCTCTTGAGCTGTGCAATGTGATCAAGTAGCCACTAGGCATGTCGGAGCTGGTTAAAAATAGAATTGAAATAAGCCAAAGTGTAAATATGTGCCACCAGATTTTGAATGCTTAACCCTGCCCCTGTCGACTACCCCAGCACTTTACACTGATTGCAAAGTGAGATGATGATACAGCGGTAAGACGAAGGAAGTTCACCTGTGTCACTTGGGGGTTAGAAACATAGAATTTGAGACTGGCGAGAACAGCTCTGTGGCTAAGAGCACTTGCTGTTCCTCCAGAGAATCAGAGTTCAGATTCCAGCACCCACAGTGGGTGACTACTATCTGTAACAGCTCCAGCGAGAATCAGAAGCGCCCACTGCTGTCCTCCACAAGCACCTGCACTCACATGCAGAGACATACGGATAAATAAATCTAAAAAAAAAAAAAAAGAGGCATTACCTGAGTGGTTCATATCCATTTTTCTGCAAATAGTGCTACTCTAGAATCAACTCATGCATAGGTAGCACAGCTCCAGAGACGTGAGGTGGCCTGTCACAAATTGCTAGGAGTTCTGCAGTTAGGTCTTGATGTGATCTGCATTCTCCACCACAAGCTAGCCTGGCCTCCAGTCTCAGGTGGGGAGGTCAGTGGCTTCTAACCTGGAAACAGGAACAGACTCCTTCCAAGCTTTTGTGTCTATAGAACAGCTTCTTAGAGTCTGACTGAAGTTTTGTTTTCTCCTCTCTGGCTTGCTCTTAATTCAGACCTGCTCCCAAGCATCAAGTGCCCAGATCTTCACACAATGCCTACACCAAGTGACAAGCAAGCCCAGACTGGTCCTCAGCAGTGAAGACAGAAGTTTGCACTATCAACTCCAGCGGAGTGATTTTTTTTTTTTGTACCAACTTTCAGAATTTTTAAAGTTTTTAAAATGCCATTGTTTCCAGAACTTTGAGCTACTGCCGTCGGTGCTGTGCTGTGGTGCTTTGTGTCCTTGCTCAGGTACTTGTAAGTTATTAATTTATGCAAAGTGTCTATTACTGCGCAGGGCGCCGTAGCAGGCATTTGTACCATCACGGGGTTTTTTTCAGAAGGCTCCTTGTGCTTTTCTCCTTCTGGCGGACTTGAAATATCCTGCTTGATGGGATCCAAGACAAGATGTTTACTTTCTGTTTGAGGCCTTATTGGAAAACAGCTCCCCAACTCCCCAAGGCTGTTATAGCACCAGACACACAGCTCAGGAGACCCCAAGCGGAACTGGAATGGGTTTATTCGTTTTTATTTTTTTGGAATCCCTATCTTGGGCTGTAGCCTGGGCCTTCAGGAAGGTCTTGGGCCTTGTATACTGACAGGGCTTCAGGCCCTGCACCCTGCAGCTCTCTGACAACTGGTAAAATCTGGCTCTGGCCAGCAGCTTTGGAGAAAACCTGGGGTGCAAGCACAAAGGTTGAGATGTGGCCACACCAGGATAGAGACCAGAACCCTAGTTCAGTCAGTCATCTGACCTTGAGCTGAGCAGCCATGAACACCTTTGGAGGGCAAAGAAGTCTGTGGTGCCACACAAGGCTTTGCTCCCAGAGCCAGCAGGAGCATCTCTCTGGCTTCCCTTTTGCAGAGTGCTGGCATGGGCATGTTGTTTACATTGGGAACAGTGGTGTTTCTACAAGAAAGCCACTGCCTGGGCACTGCAGACCTCTGTCTCCTGCCCCGTTTAGAGCTAAGCAAATTACCACATTGTCTTCTTGACTGTAATACAATGACCCTGTGTTCTGACAGATAGAGGAGGCTTTCTATGGGACCATAAACATTTTCAGATGTGAACTGGTAACCAGATCTAGTCGATCAACCCTGGAGATAAAAATTTCCTTTTTACTGCAAGGCTCGACTTATTAAAAATTAGGCAGAATCCATATGCTTGCAAAAGTCATAACCACATGGAATGCTATTCTCATTGTATAGCCTGTGTCTACTATCCTTATTAGTAGTCATTGGACACAGAGCCCAAAGTCACCCATCTGTTGTCTTTGGGGCATCCTATTCAAAACAGAGTCCCAGTCTTTCCCACACTAGGAACATACCTGTTAACTCATCATACAATGGCAAAAGCAGTAAGTTCCCCAGTGCTGAAGGCTCATGGAAGGCAGGCCCAGCCAGGCATCCCTTCCATCTCTCACTCTTTCAATGTCTGACTGGAAAGCCACCTTTCGTAGCAGATCTTTATGATGTCTCAACCTAATGCTATGAAAGACATTTTTAAAAAAATCATGTAAGGCAAAATGTCAGAGGCCTTCATTGTGTCCTAGCATGGGATGACAAGCTCTCACACTGGAAGGTAACTGACAGTGGTTCTGTAACATCTGAGTGTATTAGAATCAGGCTGCTTTGGAAGGGTCACATCAATATGGCTGGCCTATGCCTTGAAGCAGAAGGGAAAATACAGATTTAGAATTTGGTTTGCTTTCCAGAATTCAAAGCTGTATTCAGGTTTAGGAAACATGGCCTTCATGATGGTGGATAAATAAATCCACATCACAGATTCATAAAAGAACTCTCATAGCAGGCCTCTCTTCATGGCACAGTGACAATATTGCTGCCACCGGGACACATACAGTATTTTTGTACCTGATGTGACATTGGGTAGTTGTATTAAGGCCAAACATACACAACTGGAAATGTAACAGAACCGTGTGAGCAGTCTTTCAAGGCACTCGGAGCTTTAGCTGGAGCATGTGAACCCACCCTTTTTTGGGTGGGAGAGAGAGGAGAGCTACGAACCCATATTTCTTCTGTCATTTCTGTACTTTAGTTTTAGAGGACCAGGGAGAGTTTGGTTTAAAGGAAATTGAAACTGTGATCTTCTGCCATCTCTCCAGTGGCTACCAAGGGTGCCGATGGTGCCTTCCCAGCTGAGCAGTGCTGGCTGCTTGCTTTTCCAGAGCCATGCATCCATTTCTGAATAAGAATATATTTAATCCTGGTATTCCCTTACAGGACAGACAGACAGTATCGTTAAAAGAATACCTCTAAGATATAGTAGTTATCAAATAAAGCATATTTAGCAATTCTCAATTTTAACAAAACTTAGGAACCAATAACCAGCTTTGGGATTTATTGAGAGTGGGTAGTTTTTCATTCCTTTTCTACATCTTTTAAATGACAGAGACCAAAATTAATACTCACAGTTCCATTGCAGTCTATCTTTAAAACATACTGTAGACATGATTGGAGTTTGTTGAGTTTTGTGAGAACATCCCTGAGGAAGTCCAGTAGAGTGGTCCAGTACCTAGACATGAGGCATGGCTGGATGTTCTCATTTCCTTCCTATATCAAGGAATAGTTATAGGTGATGTGACCCCACTTTATAGGCAAGTGGGAGGTGAACCTTGCAGGCATTCCACTTAAAAGCTGGTCTCCTACAGTATTCCCAAATCTGTTTTCCCAGCACGTGGGATCGGATAGAGAGCAACAATGCAGCTTTCCATTTCAAAATATGCATGCCGAGTTTGCACTCTGAGTGTTTCCAGCTTACACATGTGGGATGACATCACAGAAACCACACAAGCAACAAATTAAAACTCTATGGGAAGAAATACTCCTGACTGGTCTCCAAGGAGACATTTTTATGTCTTCTTAACTTTATTAGGAATTCTCAGGCTGAAGCTATGGGTCATTGTTCTCCAACAAATCAATACAACCCATCAATGCATTCCCTAAGAACTGCCAAACCCTGAGTTGTATTTGAATGTTCTTAGGAGCCCATGATCCCCATGGTGCTACAAAGAGGCTGGAGCTGGGCCAATGAGAAGGCCTGAGCATCCTCCTGCCTCTCAGCAGATGTTTACTGAGCACTCTGAGCCAGTGCCACCCTGACAACTGGGAGGACAATGGCTGGGCCATAGGGTGCCTGGCCTTTCCTCTGAGGCTCTTCATGTTCTAATTCTCTCAGATCAGGCCAGCCCAGGGACACTTGATGTCTACAGATCCTTCCCCATCTGTTCTCAGATGGCCTCAGTCATACACAAATGACCCAGATGGCCCCCAGAACCAAGAGCTGGGTGTTTTGAGCAGTATGGCAAGTGGGTGATGATACTGTAGAGGCCATTTTTTTTCTCTCTTCCACTCATACTAGAAGCTAGCCCTCCATTCCTAGTTCTGCCACACAACTTGGCAGTGGTTCCATCACACCAAGTACACAGGAAAACATAGGTACCAATTTACCTTCTGCTCTTGTTAATCACAAGTGCCTTATATTGGCCAGATCCCATGCCAAAGCTTCTCTCATCTGAGAGAACCAAATCTCTACCTTTGTCACTCCTTCAAGCCAAAGTGGTAACTACTATAGAGTGTAGCTACCCTTTAAGGTTCACCCTAGGCAGTACAGTCCAATCTTCTCCAGGGCCATAGCACAGAGCAACCCTCCAGCACATACCAGCCTTGAATCTATCCCACAGTATATCAACCACAGTGACCTCCTTCCTAATGCCTTGCTCTAATTAGAAGGTGAAGTTGGCCATAGAAAATCAAGTTAGCACTGACTGCAAAATGCTGTTGCTGCAACCTGAATTTCCCACTGGCATCTCTTGCTTTTAAACTCTGATGAAGTAAATGATTCTCCCAGGTCTGTGAGCCCCATGCTCAGAACCATTGGGCAGTGGGGACCCTTGCAGGAGACATTTGCACAGTCATGAATGTACCATTTCTGTGCCTTTTGTGGAGAACAACATATAAGCATACATGCATACTTACACACACACACACACACACACACACACACACACACACACACACACACAAAACAAAAGCAGTTTATTATCATGAGAAAATGGAAGCTTTTCTCATGAGAGAAACTAGGAAGAGAAACGCTGCATATGGAATTGTTGGGATGCTCAATAGAGATTGCCAAGAGGCCTAACACCTGAGAGTCATTTTCAACTGTAAAATGATTTGGCCCCTGCAAGTTGAGAGCCCTGCCACATGCCTGCCTTTCTATACCTTCAAACAGCATGTTCTGTGATATCTGTAGTTCTCCAAGAACATAACATTTCAGTCATTAATTTAGCACATTTAAATTGAGACAGATTCAATATCATGTGACATTTTTACAAACAAGTCAAATGCTAGTTCATCTTCCTTGGCCTGTATGTTGGTACTTCATAAGGCAGTGACCAGAAAACATACACCCACAAAAATCTCATGAGGCTCCAAGGAAGGATACTTAAGAACTAACAGGCCTCCTATCAGGGCAACTTGGTAGTGGTTGGGAAGCCAACCATGTGAATGTGGCAACAACCAACATAACTCTAACTGGCCACAGGCTGCCTAGCTCCTTTCTGATTAATGTTACATCTTGGTTAACCTGCATAGTCATTCTGCAGGGCTTCATCCATTGATAGCGCTTTGATAAATTCATGTTTTCACATTTGTATGTTACATGCTGTTATTTTTGTATGCATTTCTCATATGGGAGATCTACAAGTAAATACAGCCTACTAGTTCAGTAGAAAATGTCATTGTTAAGAGTATTATATCCAATAAACAGTAAACAGATAAACACTGGGTGTCTCATTTGTTATTCAGAATGTTATTGATACAAAAATAAAGGGTTGGTCTTGTGTAGAGAAATATACCTTCATTTATTTATAAGTGTAAGGGCATCTTGGCGCATCATACAAGCAACTGAGGAGAAGTGCTGAGGGACCAAGGTATGCACACTGCCAATCCTGGGAACAAAGAAGAAAGAAAATGCCTGTCAAAGCACAGTACTGGTGAGACGGTGGGGGAATCCAATACCATTTTGAACAATTGTGAATTCATAATCTATCAGAATAATTTTTAAAATTTATTTTACTTATAGAAAAGGTCAGAAAGCAAGCGCTCATAGAAGTATCAGATTGTCCATAAAGAAAATCTAAATGGGTATTTACTTACACATTTTTAAAACAGCATCCAACTTCATAAAGAAACCTGCAGAAAGGAAAATGGATGGAACTCGAAGAAACCATTCTGAGCGAGGTATCCCAATACAAAAAGACAAACATGATATGTACTCACTCATATGTGGACCTGCTTTATGATACATAGTAGTGACCATGCTTTATCAGAGCTGTTTTTAATGATATTGCTCAAATGGTGTCCTTCCAGATGATGATTGAGAAGCTAATTTAAAAGAAAAATGGTGCTAGGTACCTCAAGTGCAACAGAACTGTGCTGTTTTTCTGGGATTTTGTTTTTTACTTTTTTGTTTTTTAAATGGAGAGTGCTGGATGTCTCTACAATTTTGTTCAAATGACTGCAGAACCTGGAAAAGCTGTTGCTGCTATTGATGCATAACATACTGCCATTATTGGTCTTTTTATATAAATGTAAATAAATATACATATATAATTTGACTTTTTGGAAACTTTAGCTGTGCTGTCAACTTTGGAAAAAAGTATCCCAGTTTACCGTGTTGAGTTGGCACTGTACAAAAATTAACAGCCATATTGGTCTAGAAATGTTGAACTTAATTTTTTTCCATTTGTACAGAGGTAACACACTGTATTAAATATGCAAGGTCTTAAAAAAAAGAAGGGATTTTAAGAGCCCATCCCATGTGAAGGGATGCTCTCTTGACCTGGACACATGGAGAAGGGCCTAGGCCTGGCCCAGGATGATGTGGTAGACTTTGGGGAGCCCCTTTTGAGGGCCTTACCCTGCCTGGGGTGTGGAGGGGGGATGGCTAGGGGCAGGTGGGATGTTGGGGTGGAGGGGAGGGAGAGGGAGAAGGGATTGACATCTAAAGCAAGTTTGTTCCTAATTTGAACTAATAAAATAAAATAAAAAGTAAAAAAAAGAAACCTGCAAAAAATAAGAATATCCTCTCCACATATACATATATACATTCAAAATTATAGCAAAAATAAAGGATTCTTTGTTCTTACCACTTAACCCAAGACAAAGCAAGTAGGTTTTGTGATATCAGCAAGTGACTGACAAATCCAATTCACAAGCAGCAACCAGGCATTCCAAATGCACAGAATCTGACTTCTGCCCTGGTGCCTCTCAGGATCAAAGAATAAATCATCACAAACAAAACCAACAAAATAAGTGTGTGCCCTAGAAATGAGGGAATTCTTCATCCACCTAGAGAACAGCAAATGTAACACTGGAAATGATGTATACTCTGGGATGTTTTTCAAACTCCCAGAATTAGAAGCATTTACCTGTCTACTCCTCTGCCCTGTCTCTGATAATTCAATTCAGAGGGTCTGAAAGGAACCCATGAAAGCAATTAACAGGTGACCCCATTCCATCTTATGACCAGGAAGGTTTAGTGAAAAAAACCATTATGATACTAGAACAAAAGCAGTCCCCCAGGGGAAAACTCAGAGGCCCAAATACATAAATTACTAAACAAAAGAGTTGAGAGTAAGTGAGCTCCATGTCTAGAAAAGGAACAACAAAAGGCCTTGCATAAAAATAAATAATAAATCTGTAAAAATAAAGCATGAATTTAATGAGTTAGAAAAACAAAACCATGAGTTACTTGGGGGTGGGGGGAATAAGGCAGCTGTAAACCACCTTCTAATCATTAGGCAAAATGAATGGCAAATAATGTTGCCTTTGAGCATACAGACCCAGCTGTCCAGCAGAACCCAGTGCGACCATCTCAGGAATATAAGCATGGTTCAGTAGTAAGGCCAGACAGTTGACAATGTTGCTAAGTTTGATGCTGGCAAGGAAGGATGTGAGGTGTACTCCTTCCTCATAGAGGAGCTGGTGAGTGCCATCTGCATCAGACCCAGAGAAGACAGTAAGGTTGGAGTCCATGCTGATCACAAAGTAGGAGAAAATAAGCCCTTATATGAAAGGTAAAATGTCAATTCAACGTCTACAGACAGGGTTATGCACAGCCCACAAATCAATCCTCAGCTCAATGCTCTATGACCTCTGCAGAGAACCACTTATTAGGAATAAAATCAAATTAATGGGTTGGGACCGCATGTGACAGGTCCCTGGTCCCAAGGCACTGCGGGTGATGGACAGTGGGCAGATGGAGAACAGAGACCTGCAGACATAACACATATTAGAAGTTTTAATGAGAGGGAGGTAAGAAAATGAGGGAAGGAAAGAGAAAAGAGGTAAAGGGAGACAGGACAGAAGAGAAGGTTGTGACATTCTGCCCCTTTGGGGAACAGCAGGAAAAGAGAACACAAGCGGGTAGAGCCTTTCTTTTCAAGAGCCAGGGTATGTACACCTGCCATGGGCAGGAGGGTGAGAGACGGGGCCAGGTTTGCCTGGATTACAACACCACTTACAGCTGTTCACATCTTTATTGTATGGCTTTTCTTTCTGTAGCTTCCCTAGTGTTGAGCCCTAGTTACCTTTTCATGGAGCTTCTCTATCTTTAAAAAAAAAAAAAAAAAAAAAAAAAAAAAGGGAGGGGGCAAAAAGTCCACTCCTCTGAGGGCCTTTATAGCTAGCTGCTTTACTCAACAGCCAAGTAAACCAGTTTGTCCCTAGAGACACAAAAAGCATGTGGTGTTGCTAACTTTGCTGGTGTTTAAGCTTGGCCCAGCTAAAGCTTCCCACATTTCTCTATTTGGGCTCCTAACCAACTGTCTTGGTGGTAGTTAATTCCTCTTTGTCTACAAACTATACGATTTGCCTCAAAAAAATCTTGTCTGCTCTCCAAACTAAATCTAATACACTACACTACACTACTCATTGGCGAGGCTGCACAGCCGCCTGTAGGCTGGGTCCTTGGACCAAAGAGGTGAATGTGTGCAAACACATGAACTCATGGACCTGTCCTCCTAGCACAGTCCTTCAACTAAACATGGCTATCAGAACAGCACCAATCTTCAAATGTGTATTTTTGAGCTTTAATGTGAGGCCAAGAACCTAAGAAAAACTGCCTGGGTGCTTTGGAGGCACCCCACTGCGGGAGGTGACAGCAGCCTGGACTGCAGTGGGGTGGGAGAGACAATAAGAAACACATGAGAAGAAGAAGGCCAGTAAGGCCTGGAGCATCTCGAGGACAGCTTGGGGGGAAGGGGCACCATTCTGTAGGGCCAGCACATAAATATTTGGTTTCACATCTAACTGCAAAGGCACAGGGCAAGAAAACATTCCTGTTCTATGGACGCCCAGTGAGGAGACCACATGTGCACGTGCTTAGGTAAAAAGATGTATTTCAATGTGGGAAGAGTTGCCTGTTACATAAAAGTCACTGTGAATCTTCAACTAAATAAATAAACGTCTTGGCCTCAGAGACACCGCATGTCACATGTCCAGCCCACCAGTCAGGGTTTTCGATTTCATTCGGTTGGTCTCTCAGACGGGTGGTGCTTCAGTCAGTGGACAGAGGACTTCCTTGGCAGCTTTTTTTTCCTTTCTTCTAGTAAGGAGATTACATTCTAGAAAAACCACAACAAACAGGTGGATGTCCTTCGAGGTTTTTGGCCTGTTCTGAGAGTCTGAAAGTACTACAAAAGTCGACTGATAGGCAGGAGGGGGTCCTCACCTGTCTATCAAAAACTCTGGCCATTTCTAGGACACCTTTGCCAAACTGGAAGGAAGCAGAACTTAATCAATTTGATTACAGATCAGAATGTGTGAGATTCCCAGACATTTTTTTCTAAGGAAAAAATAGTCTCCCAAACAAACATTACCTCGTTTTTCACACTTGCATCTGCCCCTTTTTCAAGAAGTAACTGAACTAGCTGTTCGTGATTATTCAAGACTGCAACCTGAAAACAGAAAGTACAGTGTAAGGAGCTCTCCCCTCCAGCAGAAATGCAGGTAGCAGAGGCAGGTGGTGGAGGGCAGCTGGTCCACCTTCTGAGGCAGCCCGGGGCTACCCCGCTGCCCACTGCAGCGCTGTTCTGGCCTGCATCCTGCTGGCTACTCAGCAGCAAAGGGGAAATGTTTCTTCCCTCTGTCCATACTAAAATGACACAGGACAGGACAGCCCAGGGCAGAAAAGCAGTAAGTTCATTGTTTAAACATGTCTACTTGGCCCTTGGAATTGGGGTTGATTAGTCTTTACAGATATTTGGCCCTGGAGATGGACAAAACAGTATAGTGTGGGTCACAGGAACAGTGTCTACTCAGAGGTTCAAGTGGACCCCAGGATCCAGGAGTTTGAGGCCGACATGGGCAACATGATAAGTACCATTTCAGATATAGAGAGGCTATAGTGACCTTCCCCTGCTCCTTGACAGATAGGTAATACTATGCAACCAAAACCGGGAGTAAGTTATAAGCATCTCAAATCTCAAGCCATGTCTAGTGGTAACAAAAAACTGAGAGCCCAGGGAGAAGGGTGTACCATGAGAGGCGTCTTTCCATCTTTGTCCTTCACATTCACATCAGCCCCGGCCTCGATGAGGAGAGAAGCTACCTTCTGGCTTCCTGTCATAGCAGAGACTCTCATGAGTGGTGTCCATCCGGAACCAGTGTCTACAACATCCACCTATGTTGCCAAAGGAACAACTGCCTCAGTCCAACCACTTTCCTGTGGCATCGATGGGCCGACACACAGAGTGTGTGCACTTCCTCAGGGCCCGTGATTTTTTTTTACACCTGGGGTGAGCTGCTGAAATCATGTGTGTGTTCAGGAAGCGGAATGCTGAGTCTCATTGGGGGTCCCCCTCTGCTGAGACAGCTCAAGGACTCCCTACTGGCATACTCATCTTTACTGTAAAATTGGAAACATGAGTGTCTAGGAAGGGACCCAACTACATCTCTCACTGGGCCCCTGTGCCTTTTTAGCTGTAGTTTTTAATTAATTTAAAATTTTAGTTGTGCAGGCATTGGTGGTGCACGCCTTTAATCCCAGCACTCGGGAGGCAGAGGCAGGCGGATCTCTGTGAGTTTGAGACCAGCTTGGTCTACAAGAGCTAGTTCCAGGACAGCCTCCAAAGCCACAGGGAAACACTTTCTCAAAAAAAAAAAAATTTTTAGTTGTGTTTTCTATGTTTGGGTGCTTTGCCTGCATGTTACATTTGTGTGCCACATGCATGCAGTAGCCATCAGAACCCTTGGAGCTGAGTTACAGTTGTGAGCCACCATGTAGGTGCTGGGAATCAAACTCAGGACTTCTGGAAGAGCAGCCAATGCTCATTACCTCTGAGCCATCTCTCCAGACCCTCTTTTTTGCTTTTTTAAATTGAGACAGGGTCTCACTGTATAGACCAAGCAGCCCCAAACTCTCAGAAATCCATTTGCCTCTGCCTCTCCAATACTTGGATTAAAAGTGTGTGCCATCACACCTGACTTGGTAGTATTTTGTCATTTGCTATATCTCTCATAGTGCTTTAAATCTTGCCTAGAACCAAGACAGTGATGGTACATGCTTTTGTACTTCACAAGGCTTACAACTCAGGCAGACGGACCACATTCGTCACACAAACTAACTGGATACATTCATGCCCAGTGCTATATCCAAGACATGAGACATGATGTGCCCAGTAGTAAGATGATCAATGTCCATAACCCAATTTATAACAAACTCTTTCAGTTCAGTCTTCCAAAAGGAGTCATGTGGAATAAAAAAAAACATAGGCATCCCCTATCCAAATTCTAGGGTATGCCCAACCAAACCATAAAGGGTAAAGATAGAAAAGAGAGAGCATGGGGGTATTCACATGCACAGTGGGCACATGTGCATACAGAAAGAGGGAGGGACACAGAGGGGAGGGAGGGAGAAAGGAGGGGAGAGAGAGATAGAGAATGCAGAACAATTCCTCAAACATGCAAAGATGATCCACCAGAAATGAATAACCAACAAGTGGGCAGCAGAAGGCCAAGGGGACCTCCAGTTGTTCAGATACATAGGCCTGATGGAGCTGTTCTTCCTCATAAAACAGTCAACCTATGAGCAACAAGTTCGGCTATGTTTGAATAACAATAAAACAAGCACCTGCCTTGACAAGAGGCTTTTGGACTCTCCAAAGCACCTGCACATACAGTCTGTCTGGTCCTGGGGATTGGGTATGGCTATGTATTATTATTATGCCTAGTTTAGAAATGATCAAACCTGCCTCAGGAATCCAGTGCCTTTCCCCAGGTCACACAGCACATCAAATGCACAATGTTTCCCCATTAAGAGAAATGTGTCACCCTCCGAATAAAATCTACACCTGAGAAAGGGGGTGGTAGCCTTGCCTGATTCTCAGTCTTGCTCATGGTCTTCAGAAACACCAGGTGAGCAATCTGTCAACAACATGGAGGCTGGGCTGCCTTCATCCATCCCTACTAGCAGGTTGTAGACATAGATGTCTCTGGGAGACCCATTTGTGCAGGCCTGTCCTCTGTAAAATGGCTCCTCAGCTACAGAAGGTGGAATTTGACCCAAATGGCTGGGTTGTATACCTGAAGCCCAGAATACCCACACTTCAAACTTCTGGAATTTAAGTGTTTATCTCAGAGAACCTGACTGCCTGACAACCCTTTTCCCTTTCTTGGGAGACATCGGCTTTTCTTCATTACAGACTCATAGTAAACTACACAGGGGCATTGTAGCCTCCACCGCCACATAGACCCCTCTCACTGAGACCAGCCTGCTGAGACTTCTGACCTCTTGCAAATGTCCCTCGGGCATAAAGAAACAGGATATGTGATAAGATGCAATTATCTTAATGACTGGGATTTTTTCCTTTGAGGTAAATCGGTCCTTTGAGAGCAGTGGAAGGTAACCAGTGAGACCCAAGGCAGAAGCCCTGCTCTCCCTCACTCACACCTCAGAGATGAACTAGACACATCTATCAACATCCCTGGGAAATGAGACATTCCCAGACTTGAGGCTCCACGTCATCAACTCAGCTTCCCAGAATTACCACCTTACAATCACACCCAACACCAACCTCTGGCCTCCACATGTACACAAATGTACATATCCATACAAACACATATATTCATCATACATCACATATATGCATACAGAGAGATAGCCCAAGAATGAAAACAACCTAACTTTGAAAGCTACTAGAAGCTGCTAGACCTGTACACTTCTCTGCATCTCCAGCACGTAGCAGGTGCTCGGTAAGGCTTCAGTGACCAACTAAACAGATACCAGCAATGAATGAAGGGATGAAGCTGCAGCACAGATGCATTGGGACATCTCTGAGCTCTACCCACTCCTCCCCTTGGCTTCCATGGTGAGATGAAGCCTGGCTGTCAACCTCAGATCCCTAAGCATCCTCCAAGGCCATCCAAGGTCATGAGCCAGAGACTCCTCTCAGACTTTCCTCAGAGCAAGTGACCAAGGCCTCTTCAAGCCCCCAGGGGATGCTTTCAAGTTCTTATCAGTGTGGGGGTCATTTGAATGGAATTGGACCCCATAAATTTATACACAATAGCACTTTTAGGAGGCGTGGTTTGATTAGAGAGGGTATGGCCTTGTTAGAGGAAGTATGTCACTGTGGGGGCAGGCTTGGAGGTTTCCTATACTCAGGATATTGCCTAATGAGTCGGTCCACTTTCTGCTCCCTGCAAGATGTAGGACCTTTCAGCTACTCCAGCACTGTATCTGCCTGCATGCTGCAATGCTCCCCCACTATGATGATAATGGATTGAACCTTTGAAACTGTAAGTGAGCCACCCCAATTAAATGTTTTCCTTATAAGAAAGTTGCTGTGGTCATAGTGTCTCTTCATAGCAATAAAAACCCTAACTGAGACATTTTGGCTAACAAGGAAGCAAGGAAGACCATACCTCACAGCCATCCTTTATCATCCAATCAATCACAGGGCAGTGGCCTCCATCTGCAGCCCAGTGCAGAGCTGAGCAGCCTCCAAGGTCTCTAGCATCCCAAGAAGCTCCATGTCTTCGGAGGTATTTCACAACATCTAGGTGCCCCGCATAACAAGCAAGCATGAGACTGCAACATACAGAAAATGGACAATCTGCCATAGGTGCCACCACTGACTTTGGGTCCACATTTAGTCCACCTAGATTAAATCAAAAAGTCATCAATTGAATTTAAAAATACTGTGCTTGTGTAATAATAAGTCTTCCCACCGAGCCGCCTGAGCCCCTGCTGCCACGTGGGTGCTTTACACCAGGCCACCTGAATTCTGCCCATCCGCCACCACGTTAAAGTCCCAAGTAATACAGAGACTTCTATCAGGTACAAATGCTGATTGGCCAATGACTAGGATTTCTCATCTGCTACTCAGTCTTAATTATCATAAATCTATATATTTTATAAGACTTATCTTATTGGACACCAGCAGAAGCATCCTGTCTTCCTGGGCTCACATGGTGACCCTGCGCTTTCTCCTACCTTTTCCAGAATCCCCCTTGACTACTAGTCCCACCTGTCTTGTTTCCCTATTGGCCAACAGTACTTTATTTATCAACCAATAAGACAATCATAATACACAGAAGGACCTCCCCCATCATGCTTGGCTGACATAAAATGTACACATTTTGATAGATAAAATGTAGTAAATGCATACAATGGAATGTCAGGTCAGCTACAAAAGGGAATTTAAGTCCACAGTAGGAAAAACCTTAGAACAGTATAAATAATAAAAGATGCGAGGCCAGGTGTTGGTGGCGCACACGTTTAATCCCAGCACTCGGGAGGCAGAGGCAGGTGGATCTCTGTGAGTTTGAGGCCAGCCTGGTCTCCAGAGCAAGTTCCAGGATAGGCCCCAAAGCCACAGAGAAACCCTGTCAAAAAAAAAAAAAAAAAGCTAGGCATCAAAAGTCATAGCATATGATCCATTTACATGGAACATCCTGAAGAGCTGAATGAGGAAGACAACAGTAGACTAGGAGCTACTGTGGTGGTGGTAGATGAACAACCATGTGAATGTATTTTAAAGCACTGCATTCTATGGAATTTGGATTACGTCTTAAAAAAAAAAAAAAAAGGTACCAAGCAGGTAAAGCCTAATGACCCAAGTTCAATCCCAGAGGCTACACTGTGAAAAGGAAAACAGACTCCTGCAAGCTGTCCTCCACATGAGTACCATGCTATGAGCACTAATACATGCATACATGCACATACACAAATTTAAACACAGACAAAACAAAATGTAAAAGTGTTTGAAAATGAATATTGGCTATGACTGAGTATAACTTATTAGACTTTAAAATATCCATAAAACCCAGATTATATTCAAGACAGATTAGTGAAGAACCATGGGTCATACTGTTAGCAATCATTATTAAACCAGTTCCTCACTCTAAAACAGGAAGTTCACTCACTGTCATTTTCCTTGATAGAGAGCAAAAGCTGGTCCGTTCCAGCTACTCTCCATGAAAGAGACTGCCAACTGCCATGGAATTCTTTTGTGTACCTCCTAATCAGATAACTGTATGGGCAGAGAGCACTCCCAGATGCTGGATGTTAGTGGAGACCGATGCAGTCACATCATGCAAATGTATTACCCTATAGATTATTTTCTAGGTTCCATGAGGAAAATGTAACTTTACAGAAATCTGGCTATCACTACTGCCACCAGAATCAAACCTGGAATCGCCACCTGTAAGGCATCCCACAGTATAGGCCTCCACAGCTGTGACAGAAACAACACAAGCTCTCAAGGTTCCTGCTGGAGATGGCATCCTGTCTTCAGCCAAACCTTTGTAACCTTGACATGAAGATGCCTTTGCTGAAAATGCAGGATTAGGTGAGCAAGCTAGATGCTACCCTTCTTCTGGGAAGTGACAGAGGCAAGACCAGAATACAGCATGTGATGAGGTGTCAGCCTCAGATGTCAACTATGAGGAGAGACACAGGAAGGAAGGAGAGTGAAAGAGAGAAAGAGGGGGAGAGAATACAGAGAAGAGGAGGATGGGGGACAGAGTATAGAGAGGGGAGAAAAATGAGAAGGGGCATCAAGAGTGGAGGGGGGAGAGGATAGAGGGAAAGGAATTGATAGAGAACAAGCCCTCAATAAGGAAAATGAAACCACAGAGGCAGAACCAGTGGGAGCATAGGGTAAATCATCATCTTGCCCCAGCACCCACCACAAACAGTGACATCTGAATGACAAGTGAGATACTGGGTGTCAGTGACACCAGGGAATTGATGAGAAGTACCCCAAGTGTGACATGATGGCAGGTGTGCAGTAAGGACCTTGCTTCCAGGAGTATACAACTGAAGGTAACGGTGAAGCACATTGGTGGAGCCGGGGTTTCTACAAATATAGACAATTGTCTGTACCTACCAAGCTGCTGTGGAACATTCTTTGTACACTGTAAATGTGTATTACTCTCATTGGTTAATAAAGAGCTAACTGGCCTATAGCTGGGCAGGAAGAGATTGGATGGGAGAGCCAGAGTAGGAGGATGCTGGGAAGAAGAAAGGCAGAGTCAGAGGAGACACCATGAGACTCAGAGAGAGGGGATGGGAAGTACGGACATGAGGTACATGATCCTTGGGGAAGAAAGTAGATGAATAGAAATGGGTTAATTTAAGTTTTAAGAGGGAGCTTTAAAAAAGTCTAAGCTATTGACCGAGCATTTATAATTACTATTAATTCTCTGTGTGGTTATTTGGGGAGCAGCTGGTGAGAGAGAGCTGATTGCTGGACTAGACAGAAAAGTCCACCTATGCCAAACCTCAGTGGAGTATGGACAGGTGTTTTCTGTGTTATTCTTTCCATATTTTGTAAATGTTTGAAAATGGAAGATCATCTCAGTAGGAAAAGGTAGTCCCTAGATGACCACACAAGGACACTGGGTCTATTCAAATCCTTGATCATCCCAACAAAGATGCCCTGACTGTAAAATCTTAATTGTGTATCTGGCCATTCTCTGGGTGTAGAAGTCCTAGAATGGAACCAGTGTGTGAGTGAAGTGGCCATGGCCTTTATGAGCTTTGTATTACACATATTCATTGTCTTCTCCTGCCAGCCCCCTCCTCTCCAGTCTTTCTACTTTTACATTGTGTGTGCAAGTGTGAATCATTTGTGTGTATGTATACATACGGATCTCAGACTGTGTGTGTGTGTTTGTCTGTGAATCATTTATAGATGGTAGATAGATGGGTAGATCGGTAGATCGATAGATCGATAGATCGATAGATCTCACACTGTGTGTGTCTAAATCATTTGTGTACATGTGAATCTCAGATTGTGAGTGTGTGTGTTTTCTCACATAAAATGGGAGGAAATGGATGCTCAAATTTTCACCTATACACAACAAACATATATTCCCAAATTGTGTACATCATGACTCACAAAGATAGTATAGATAATAGAATATTTCCTCTAAATTTTGCCAAATGTTAATGGACTAAATATTGTTAACAATAGTTCTTGATAACTGTTTGCTATATATAATTTTTCTATGTTAAAGTCTAAACCCTTCACCAGGGCAGTGGTGGCACACGCCTTTTAACCCAGCACTCGGGAGGCAAAGACAGGTGGATCTCTGTGAGTTCGAGGCCAGCCTGGTCTACAGAGAGAGAGTGCCAGGATAGGCTCCAAAGCTACACAGAGAGACTCTGATGACACCCTCCAGGGGGAGCAGAAAGGGTATGTGATAGGTAGGGTTTTAGTTGGAGGGGGTGGTAGGGGAGGAGAGGAGGGAGAGGGAACTGTGATTGACATGTAAAACAATCTTGTTTCTAATTCAAATAAAAAAATCTGCAAAAAAAAATAAATAAAAAGCTACACAGAGAAAACCTGTCTCAGAAAAAAAAAAAAAAGTTTAAGCCCTTCTTTTTATTTAGACAGAAAAGAGGAAATGATGGGGGATGTTCTTCTGTATATATGTTTCTCTTATTGTTGATAAATAAAACACTGATTGGCCATTAGCCAGACAGGAAGCATAGGTGAAGCTATCAGATCAGGAGAAGGCAGAGAGGAGCCTCCAGGGAGAGATGCCATGGTGCCAGGACATTACTGAGTAAGCCAAGAGCGTGTGGAAATACTTAGATTAATAGAAGTGGATTAATAATTGAGAGAGCTAGCCAGTAAGAAGCCGTAGCTATCAGACAGACAGTTTATAAATTAATATAAGTCTTTGTGTGTTTCTTTGGGGCTAATCAACTGTGGGACTAGGAGGAACGGAAACTTTCATCTATACACGTTTACCATTATTAATCACCAAATCCATAGGAGGTACTCTGTGCAGTGAGACTAACTGCAGACCGTGTGCTTGTTTACCACCATGCGCAGCCTACTGCACACCATCTGTGTGTGTAACCCCCTCTTGGTCTCATCTGGCAGAGTGAGTTGTTCCTGGCTGTGGATGTGCACTGGCATGCTCTGTTCCCAGCACATCCCTCAGTGTTTGCTCAGATAGCCCTGAACTCTATGTCTTTTTGCTTAGTTCCTTCTCATTTTTGTGATTGCATGTTACAAAGTCAGGTGACTGCATCCCTACTTCCTAGTGGTGGTTTATGACTTTTTACATTTAATCCTCTATTCATTTGACATGTGCTTGGGCGCTTGCTGGAAGGCCAAGATCTTACTTTTTTTTTTTTTTAATAGCCTATTTCTAGTACCCTCTCCATTGGTCTGTAGCAAGCACCCTTTCCACCATATATTAAGTTCTATCTATCCTGTTTATCTTCTTCCAATCTTTTACACTCTGGCCACCTCTCTAATTAGTTTAACTCTTAAGGCATATTAATAACTGTCCCCATAGTCTATGACAAAGGTTTAGTGTCTATTACCATCAATTTGTTCTCTCAGATAAATTACAATCATTTTGATGGGTTCCCAAGAATAATTCCATTTGAAGCTATATTCAATCTATATGCTAATTTGAGAAAAATAGAAAATGGTGCCATCCTGAAAAGTAGCATATATCTCAGCTTTTCCAATCTTTGGATCTCTCAGTATAGTTCTGTAGCTGTATATTTTCATCGGGCTTCTTGCTTTTGAGGATTTATTCTACTCTACTATGTTTAGATATAAATAAGTTACTACCTTTTTTCTTTAAACAGGCTCATTATATAGCCCTGAATGGCCTGGAACTCACAGAGATCCTGCCACCCTGAGTACTGAGATTAAAGGCATGTGCCACCACACCTGGCATTCAGATTTTTTTAAATTATCTCATAACTGCCATTTCAGGAAACCTTCTTATTAAGTTTCAAGTGTTTGACTGTTGCCTCTCTTGAATTATGCAGTCCAGGAGGTATCACATCTCTTACCCCTGTATTTCCCAAAGTACTGTCCAATCATCAAATAGAATAGAAGGTGCATTCACGGAGAGCCAAAGCCTGTATCACACCTGCCCATATATGAACCCATTCATTGTCCCATGGCTTATATAGGGAAGCCTACCGAGGTTGCTGTCTAGGTCATGCTGTCTGCTGTCTGTGTTCCTCACCACCCCCACCCCAGCTCTCTGCAAATTCAGGAGGACTTACCAGTGCTAAAAAATGACATTGGAGAACTGAAGTGTTTTTATAAAAATAAAAAGTAAATAAACCATTTTTATGGTGATAGGCAGGACTGTACACATCTGTCATCTCAGCTCCTCCAGAGGCTGAGGCAGGAAGAATGTGAATTCTAGACCAGTGTGGACAACACAGTGGGACTGTGGCAGTTTGAAAAAAAAAATGCTCCCCAAAGGGACTGGCATTATTAGGAGGTGTAGCCCTGTTGGAGGAAGTGTGACAATGTGGAGGTGGGCCTTAAAGTCTCTTTTGCTCAAGCTTCCCTCAGTGTGACAAGTCTACTTCCTGTAGCCTGAGTCAAAATAAAGAGCACTCTCAGCTCCAGGACCATGTCTAACTGCACACTACCAGGCTCCTCATCATGATGACAATAGACTGAACCTCTGAAACTGTAAGTGAGCCACTCCAATTAAATGTTTTCTTTATAAGAGTTGCTGTGGTCATGGTGTGTCTTCATGGCAACAGAAACCCAAACTAAGACACCAAGTCACCCACCATCTCAAAAAATAACAAATAATAAATGTTGACACTTCCTGCTACTTCTGTGCCAGGCACTCTCCAAAGGCTTGAGGGTCTGTTTGTGATATTTATATATATATATATATATATATATATATATATATATATATATCTCTAAAAGAAGGAAGACAAAGAAC